AAAAGTGAAATATAGGGACATACATGTCCATTTATATATATATATATATATATATAGAATATAGATATATAGATATAGATATAGATATAGATAAATGCTTTGTTCGAAATTATTAGTTAAAAGTGAAAATTAATTAAATTCATGGATCTTACTTAAAAATGAATTTTTCCATTAAAAAAATAATACCGTAAGATTACGAGACGGAATTATGAATAGAATAAAGCACAGAGGGACTTAAAATTTGATATTCTCCCATGGAGAGAAGTGCTATTATTATTAGTAATTGAACGTTCTGTAATATGCATAAGTATATAGCCTAAAAGAACATTGATTGCGTATGTCATGTGAGTAATTAATTATAAATTAATCGCAATCATCATATTGTCTGGATAACATTATTTTGGAAAGGCAACTTAAGGTAGTTATAGATAAAAGACAAGGTTCAGGACTAAAACCTCCTCTCACTCACAGCCAATTACAGGTGGGGGACTTAATATTTGCTAGGGGAACTACTCGGCGCAACTATAAAATTACAACATACTACATAATTGCAGTGCAGTATTTCTTAATATTAAATAGTAACATATATAACACTATTTCATCCCATTAGAACATAAGGGAAGATAGGACGAAATCTCAAGATGTAATTTTTATAATAAATAAAATGTCAAGTGGATATGATACGGACATCATTCCTATTGTTTCTACTCGAATCTGTACCCGATAGAACATTAACATTATACTAATATTAGAAACGTCAACGCGCAAACGGCCGTCACTTAGGGGATGTCAATAAATTACGTCCGCATTTTTATTGAAATATTTATTCTCCCTCCCCCCATTGTCCCAATTTGTCCAAGTTTCCGTAATATCTCAGAACGTGGTGAAGATTAAGAAACATAATTTTGTATGGTAACTTGTATACAAGAAGCATCGATGCTATTAAATTTTGGTGGTTAAGGTCCGGGGAAGTGGAGAGATAGATGGGGGGTCATGCGTGATATCTCGAGTGGGGTTCAACTTAACGAAGAATTTAACGGTTATTGGCCTCTAAAATATTTTTATAGACTCGTCTGCAACCTCGAAATTTATTCGTTTGTTTTTTTATTATAATTAATAATATAAAAGTTATTTTAAAAATAAAATCTGTTAACAGCTCGGAAACTTACTGGGCCGGTTGCTGGATTTTTTATATATCAGAGAAAATTAACCGAAAGTATTTTTAAGCAAGATTTTTCGGTAATTTATTTCTTTAGGAACGCGACTTTCGGTTATTTATATATAAAAGACGTTTTTCGTCGGAGGGACGAGTTCTCATCCGGTTGAGTTGGTTTAGCTTAAACCGACCACGCGGTTTGGCGCGCTGCGCGGCGCTGACCCGTCCGGCGTCGCTTCCGCGCCGAAAATAGACCCGGCGGAGGGCGCGACGCGATTTGACGGTAGAAAAAGAGAGAAACTCACTTTTTCGGCGGACGACGACGGAAACCAGCAGACCTCGGCAGAAGGCGGCGATTTTGTCCCCGGCCAGTGAAGAGACCCGAAGCTCCGACAGGGTGCGGTTCTTGGCGTAGAAAGTGTCCATCGACTCGCTCCCCACTTTCTTGCTCTGCGGTGGGAAAAGCCCATCTTTAGTCGTCCGTCTCTCGCGCCGCCCGCTCGTGGAGAAGCGCGACTCACCTGTAGCTCCCGAAGCGTCTTCTCTTCCGACTGCAGCGTCTCTTCTTCCATTCGAGCCAAGAAGCATCTTCCGGCCGACCCGTCCCTGAAGGCGATGGTTCTCTGAAAGAGTCCCTCCACCGTTAGCCCTGGCTTTTCTCTTTCCGGAAAGCGGAAGGACCGGTTGGGGGCCGACGACGGAAAGAAGTCCCTTTTCGCGCGTTGAAGAACGAGCCTCGGCCCGCCTTTCCGGTTTTCCGGAAAGTCCGCGAAGGGAGCGCTCCTTTTCCGAAGCGTTCCGGGAATCCTTCCGCTTTCTTACGCGTACCGGAAAAACTTACCCGTCGAAAGTCATAGAGGGTGGCGGACGGAAGCCGGGATCCCGGTCCCCGACTCTCCACGTACTCCGTCTGAAAGAGAAAGAAGATGAGACCGGCGGCGTGGTGAAAGGGTCTTTCCGTCCACTTACCTCTTCCCTGGGATTCAGCAATACCCGGACCGGAAAGGATCGTCCCCCGTACAGATGAGTCACCTCGAACCTCTGAAAAAGCCCAGAGGAAGGAGCGTTAATCGCGGAGAACTATTTCGCCGCGCCGCGATTTTCGCCATAAATAGTGGCCCGGGTGGCAGGTTCGTCCTTTGTTAGGGGGCCGGCGGCGGAAACTTCCGCTAGAGGGGGCCCGGTACCGGTAGTAAACCCGTTCTGCGCGAGAAACCCGGGGCGCCGCTTTACGGTTCTGTCCCAGAGAGGCCGGGTGAGAAAAGTGGCGAAATCCCCGGAAGTGCGGTCTGGAAAGCGGCGCTTTCCCCGAAAGAAAGGGAAAGGACGAGACGACCTCTGGGACTCACCTGCGGCAGGAGGGCGGGAGACCGGGAGAGTGCGGCCGCCAGCGTCAGCAGCGCGGGCATCCAGCGCAGGTCCATGGTCGATTGCGACGCCGACCTCTCTCCGTTTCCTTTTATCCGCCGCGGAAGGCGGAGGTCGAGGTCGACGCCCGCCGCTCTCGGATTTCTCCGGGGACGAGCGTTCCGGATTCCCTCCGCCGCCATCTTTCGCTTTCGTCTCCGTTCCGGGGCCGGGCGCCCTTCTCTCTTCGTCTCCTTCTTTTTCCCAAACGGATCTTTCGTCCCTCTGGCTCCAGGGGTAAAGGCCTCCGCACTTTTTTGCCCCACGAGTCCCGCCTCTCGCCCCCTTCGAGCAGACTCCACAGATATTTCGCTTCCGAAGAGGCCAAGAGGATAGGAAATTTTTTCCAGGAGTCGCCTTTTCTTTCTCAAAGACGATCGGATACTTGGTCCCCCAGACGGATACTTGCCCTCTCACACTCTTCTGTCGTCATCGACGCCACCCCCGCCTTCCGGACGACTTTCCCGTCCACCTTACCAAAACCGAAACTCGACTTCCGTTTTCGCTTTCGTCTCTTTGCTGGAATGATAAACTTCCGGTTTCCCCTTTAGAGGCCGACCCCGTGGGCCCCTCCGTTTCGGTTCCCACTAGGACCGAGCGGTGGCGCTTCTCCCACGATTTTTTTTCCTTCCTCTTCCCGGCCATCGCGCCGCCGTTCCTTTTTACGCGTCTGGGTTTCTCCGCCGGTTTTTTGCTCCCCTTCCCGACTCTTTCTTATCTTCGGTGTCTCCTCGTGTTTTTTCCCGCATTTTTCTCTCGTTTTCCCTTCCTCCCCCGGGTTCCGCGGCCGCCTTTTTTTATTTTCCGGACGAAGCGGAAGAAACGCCGGAGGACGGAAGGGGCGGGGACGGCCGCGGAAAAAGACGGAGGAGAAAACGGAAGAGCGTCGCGAGAGGTCGAGAGGGCGGCTTTTATCTGTCGGGCCGTCAGTCGATCCTCCGCTAAAACGGGTCAAGGCGACTCGACTCTATTTTCGTCGCTTCCTTCTTCTACGGGTCGGAGATGACCTCGACCCTTCTCTTTCTCTCCTCGGCGTCGCCTTCGCTTCTGCCCACCGGCGCGGCGCGCCGTAGAACGGAAGAAATGGAGGATCCCGTCGCCCCTCCGAAATAGGGGGAGCGGATTCTCGAGAAGAAATTCAGGGGTTCGGGGCGAGCTTTCGTCGGTCTTTTTCTTTCAGACTGCTGCTTCGGGAAAGAGGACGACGAAGGTTTTCCTGTTAAAGTGGCGATTCTCGTCCCTCTCTCGAGTTTACCCCCGAATTTTTTTCTTTTGGCCGTCGTCCCGTTTATCTATGCCCGTATCCGGCGCCTTCCCTCCGGCCGCGGTCGAGGCTAGGGAAAAAGTCTCCGTCCGGGAGGGGAAATTCCCCTCCCGGACGTCGACTTGGGCCGAGTCGAAAGACTTAAACACAATAAACGTAAAGAGAGAAGACAAGTACACGAAAGGAAACGATGATTTCCGCGTTTGGTCTCGGCCGGCGAGGTCAGTGACGTAACAGCTGTCTCGTAACTTTATCTATCGGCGTCGTAATGTACAGTACAGTATATTTCTAGAAGTCTCCCCCTTCTTGTCCCGACGTTTCTCTCTGCCCACTTCCCTTCCGTTCTTCCTCCTGTTGCTTTGATTTCCATTCTGGTAACTGACTCACCTCACCCTTTCCTTTAAGACACCGCGTACCCCAGTGTGATCGTTAATAGTAACGAATTACTCCATATCTACTGCTTCTCTGCACAACGATAATTTATAGATTTTTTTTCTCGTTTTACCAGCTCGGTCTTTTATTGTTATTGTCTGTTTGGCTCAAAATTCCGGCGAAAGTTTATTTCCGACTCCGATCTCGTCTTATTCCGGTGTTAATTTATGCGCGGCGAAAAGACCCACCTTCTATTTTTATACCGATTTCGTCGACGGAATGTGTGATGTGGCGGCCTTTCCCGGCTTACGGGATACACTGTAGCCGAATTAACTGTTTAATCAAAGTCTTTTTTGGGCTGTAATTTGAAAAACTGTGAAACTATAAATTCCCTCTGTCATCTGTCCATTTGTGTCTTTCATTAATCTCGAGAACGAAGTTAGATAGATAAAAGACGAGACCAGATATGAAAACCTCAAGAGCAGGTGATCCCGATTAACTATATATGAACTTCCGATACCTACCGGAAGTTACGTTATTTCAATTCAAATATTTCCCTCCGAAAGGTATTAGCTAGATGACCGGCACGACTCTATCGTTAAAGGAAAAGTATGATGTACGGAGGCAAACCACTACAAATTTGAGGTGGAGAGGATGAATTTTAAATCAAATAAACTAAAAATATGGTTAAAAATTGCAAGTTAATTTCAAGTTTCTTTTAAAAGACAATATGACTTAAGTTGAACTATACAATAATAAAAACATCATCCTACATAACTACGTGTTATTTTGATAATGAATTAAAAATTAGAAAAGGTTTGCCATCCACTGGCTTATTCTACAACAACAAAACTCCATAAATCAGTCATAATTTTCTATTGTTAGAAACTATATCAACGGCATAGAAATTAAAAGGGAGGAAATATTGTTTGTTTGCTTTCTTGCCGATTTATTGTTCGAAGCCAACGTCTCGTTTCTGCACCTTTCAAACAACTAAAGTCTGTCAGTGCTGTAAAAATGTTCAATTTTTGCTGTTATAGAAACTCTGCCCGACATTTTCACATCCCACTCTTCTATTGAGAATCTACTACTACAAGACCCGAAGCTGGATGCAATTCACTCTTCTGTTAAGTTGTAGGCATGATGAATATCTATCCAAGAAATCAACCGACTCTGATTTCATACGCCTCTTCTTAAAAACTAGACAACTTTCATTACGCTTTACCCTTTTTAAAAAATCCGACGATCTAAAGCCTAATCTCACAATTGTATATTACAAAAAACACAAAAGAGAAAGCTAAAACAATTAGAAACACCTACAAAACCAAAGTACAAACTCGCCAACTTGAACGATTGGAATGCCGCCCCATTGGGAACGGTTGTCTCTAGAACGAAAACGAGAGGCGATTACAATACACAAGTTGCACGAACGTCATCTCACGTGATCGAATCGTCATCGCTACGCTTTGTGCCGTGCTGTTCGTGGGGGTGTACATAGTTTGGGTCGTGCGTCTAAACGTTTATTACGTGATGAATATGGCAGAACGTGTATTTTACTTTTCCGAACCTCTTGTACTGTACATAACAGAAGGAAACTATGGGAATATTTTTACATTTTTGGACCAGAGACATTGTAATGTCAAAAAAAAAATGCAAAATAATTCGAAGTTCTTTTTTTTTTCCTGTATATGTGAATGTGTGAATTGGGGACACGATTTTGTTCACCCGATTTGAAGCTTAATAATCCCCGACTTTTGTTGAAAATACACAACACCGCTTTCCAAAATCCAACCCCTAGGTCCTCGTCCTGGAATGTGGAAAAGCCACTCGATGATTTTGAATGGCGGCTAAAGGGGCTCTGGTACACTAGATATACTAGTACAAACTACATTTTACAGAAGTAAAACAGATCATGGCCACTCATTACACTACGTGGGAATATTGTGGCAATGCGAGACTTATCGGAAATACGTCGGCACCGGAAACGATGCCAAGAGGTCTCCGGAAATTCCAACAGGAAAACCTAGAAAATCCATCGATGCGCAAATTGCCATGAGATCATTTTGGCAAATGTACTGTTCAAGCGTTGGGGAAGAAGTGGTGGAAAATCTTCAGTCTGTTTAGGATGCGCTCTGAAGAACATCGTTTAACAAGAATTGGAGCAAAATTTTCACGAGAGCGCTGATTAGGAAAAAAAAAAATCTATTTTGAAACGAGTAATTGAAATATTTTGGTTAAATTCTTAAATTCTTATCGTAAAATACGTTAAGGGTTGGATCCGTGGGAAAAAGGCAAAGCAACGCGTGGGATGACTTCCACAGGGGTCAACCCCGGGGAAATTTTTTCGGAGAAATAGTCCCTATTTAGAAGAAAACCGGGAAAACATCGGACTGCGAGGACCCTGTACGTCATGCTTTTCCTGTTAGCAATGGAGCCGGGTCAGTCATCTTTCCGACTTCGTTCTCGAGATTAAGATAGTGGGTGCGAGAGTAGTATAAAGCCTGGACTCCACATTACCGGAATCCGCGACGTAATCGTAAAACTGAAAGCCAAACTAACGAAACTTTCAGTTTTGTAACGTTCAGTTGGACAGAAACAAGACCGAAAGCGGAGTTAAAAATGATTTAACTTTTCCGTTTTCGTCCAGCGCTTCTATCGTACCGCAACCAATAAAAACGCAAGGATTTGTGACGCGTATTCACGTGCATTTATCACGTGCAGTAGTTTGATTGTCGTAATGGCGGAAAGTGTAGCGAAAACGATGAGGAAACAAATAGATTTAGAACTCTTGATCGAAGAAGTTAGAAAATACACATGTCTGTACGGCAAAAAATATAAATACAGTAGAGCGTCGATTTTCCGAATCAATTGGGGACTGGGGTTGTCCGGATAACTGATATTTCGGATAACCGATTTACGTACGAAAAAATAGTTTAACGTATCCGATGTCAAAATTTTTCTCCGTTGCGTGTCGCTTCGCGTTGAATTTTTGTCGATGTTAAGCCTAACGAAAACTATTGAATTGTTAAAAATTATTTTTTTATTTTGTACGAACAAAATAAATATATTGAAAAATATAAAAANTCAATCTTATCTAAGAAAGATACTATATAGTGAAGAAGACTCAAGCAGCTAAAGGAGTAACAAAAATCACATCTGAGAAGTAAAGAAGGTTGAAGAGCTCATAATGGAACCTGAAACTGATCTGACGACAGAAGAACGCCAAGAACTCTTAAATGAAGAACACCAAGAAACTCGGCAAGATATGTTTTCTTCTGAAAAAGAGGATTAATGCCGATATCTTTAAAGATCTTTTGAAAAAGTGGAAGGATGTCAGAACAACGGTCTTAGAATGGAATGTAAACCAGGTTGAGGCTTGGGGATCTCTACAATTACAACGCTATTAATTACTTATGAAAAATCCTGAAGAAGAGAGAAAAGCGATCAACATCAGACAGATTCTTTAACCCTTTCAAATGGAAAAAACATGACTAATAAAAATGCAAGACTGTATATGTATGTATTTTTATTATTACATATAAATAAACGTAGTAAGAAAGTATATATTTTTTATTTTTTGTGGTCTCCAGAACGAATTAATTAAATTCCCATTAAAACTTATGGAAAATCGGTAATCAGTTAACAAACAATTCGCATAGCGAACAAAGTCTTGGAACGGATTATGTTCGTTAACCGATCACTCACTGTACTGTACAATTTTTAATCATATTTTAAATTTATTTAATTTGAAATATATGTATGCTCTCCACCTCAAATTAGTAGTGTCTTGCCCCTGTACATCATACTTTTCCTTTATCAATAGAGTCGTGCAGTCATCTATCTAATACATTTCGAGGAAAATTTTTTGAATTGAAATAACGTAACTTTCGGTTTACATCGGACGTTCGTTTACAGTTAATCGGGACCTTCTACTATTAATGTTTCCATATCTGGTCTCGTCTTCCATCTATCACGCCCCATGGACATACTTTAGCAGTTTTAGCCGAAACACTTTCACGTAGGTTTTCTTCCCTAGTAAATATAGTATATGTGGAAGGTTCCTTCTTTCTTGACATTCTCGAAACTTCAGAAGCAGGCTGTTTTTTTCTTCACTAAATCTACAATTTTAAATTTTTCCCCTAAAGTGAGTACTTTACGGCTATTGTTTTACTTATCAGAGCTATCGCAACACGTTGTTGAACTCGTTATACGTTAAATAAAATGAAATGTGGTGAGTGTGGTTTAAAATATACTCATAGACAAAGTTTAAACGGTACGATTTGTGATATATCCGTACAACACTTGTGTTTTCTGTTCATAATTATAAATTACTAGCTGCAAGGACCCGCTTCGCTGGGCAAAAAGTAACGATAGTGAAGATTAAGATAATTACATTATAGCTAATCTTATTCGTTTTCACAGAATGCAAGAATTAGATCCCCCGTTTCCAGACTAATTAGAGAATTTTTACGTTTAGTCAAACGAACTATTTTCAACGTTTCTGGAACGTTTACAATCGTTCTATAATCGAACCAATATTCGAATTTTATGTTCGAATTTAATTCGAACAAAACATTCGAAATAGAAAGCCACTTTCAACCACTTTCAGCCTCATATCTCCCGCACCCTTATA